ATTCAATGGCCTAACCTAAATATAAAAAAAAAGAAGCTAACTACTCAATTAAGTAACCTAAACACACATTTTCTATCTGTTAAATATTACTCGAAATAATTCTGACCAATTAATACTAGTGTAGGAGTTAGCTCCTCCTTAATTCCCTAATTGTCACCAGGGGTCATTCTCCCTATACTATAAATACTGGGCGACTTCTCGCCCCGTTCTGTTTTTTCATTTCTTCATTTCAGCGAACACTTCTACAATGTGAGCTCTCGCAAACGACAGCGTTCCCCATTTGTAGGAGACGCCATGAACATTATACACACATGCACGTACGTACAAACATTCACCAAAGAACAAGCACAAATGTTCACACAAGCACAAATCTTAATGTCTTTGTCACTTGTAAATTTGTTGTTTAATACATATATTTGTTGGCATATATATATATCGGTCTTGTTTGTTTTCTTTTCATCTTTGGTTGGACAATTTGAGTCTGCCATTTTTCTTGTAGTTGACCTTCTTCTAGCAGGAAACAAACAGCACGTGTTTCTAATACAAAAACACGGACAACCCACACGATCCACTACACTAATATCGGCACTTGACATTTTCAATACAATGATTACTACGATACTATTTTAAATCTTTACCCTCTGAAATTTCATTCATAAGAAATAGACAATAAGGCATCGATATGGAAATAAAAACCGTAAATAAGATATATATTTCATATCACTCTATATTAGGTGAAAAAAGCATCAATTTTTAAATGAATTTGGAAATAATGGATTTCGTGACAAATTTATTAAATTTTGCAAATAGACCTGGTAAATAAGCAATATCATGTTTTAATTTCTTGAGTTTATTAATGATGTTATCGTTGATGGCTTCCATAAAATGCAAACTATATTGAAAATATATTGAAAGCTGTTACCTTTTGATAGCCACTGAACTTCATTATGCCGTCGAATCGCTAGAAATCGCCAACGTTTTCAATGTAAAGACGGCAGAATATGTGATCCTTACGGGCGTGACTTTTTTAAATTTTATTTACAGCAGTTATATCCATTTTTAGTGAATCTGGAAGTTGATCACTGATGTGTTTTACAATTAAATGCTGACAGTAAATCACACGGTGAACACTTGTAATATTTAGTACAACCTCATTCAAATTCCCGATGTAACGATCACTTATTGAATAATTGTCAGTTTATCCTTGAAGATTTGATCTTGTAAGAGAATACACACAGACACACACACACACACATATATTGTGCAGTATATAAATTCCAGAACATTTGAGCACCCCGACGTGGTGTAATGGCTAGAAAGCTTGTCTTGTTAGATCAATTACGACTGAGTAGTGAGTTAGATACTTACTGTCTGCCCCATACTTTCGGCCTTGTGCCACATCTAAGCTGCGATTAGAAAAACACTCTGGACACATCTCCGTGGTGTAATGGCTAGAAAGCTTGTTTTGTTAGATCAATTACGACTAAAATAGTGAGTTCGATCCGCTTTGTGTGCCCCATACGTTCGGTCTTGTGCCATACCTAAACCGCGTTTAGAAAATCACTATAAATTTCAGAACAACATCACATACATATTGTCTGTGTTTTGCAATTCTCAATTATTCTCGAATCATATTTTCGAGGATTTTCTATACTATCTAAGGCTCATTTTTAAAATCTTCATCGCTTCCCTATGTCTGATCTCTGACCGACCATAACTAGTGGGCGCTGGTGATGATGGGTCAGAGATCAGACCCACTTTGAGAAGCCATAGGCCGATGACCCGTGTTGACACCCTATATCGGTCCTGAGGACATTCCGTAAGTTCTGTCACTACTGCCCTTACAATACGTCGGTCATGGCGCATAGTTTATACTAGGGGCTGTCCAGCACCTGGTCTACATGTTTAGGGATGTTCATCTGATCATTTTTGCCAACATTAAATACCATAGTCAGCATGTGCAACGATTCTTTGAAATGATCATGCCGCCTCTTGAAGGTTCATTATTCGATCTTTCTCAGACGACTTCAATTGAACAAAAGAAGAGTCTCTGAGACATGACATCTTCTTGGACTGGATTCTTTCACTAAACTGAATCATATCACAGCATACATCACTGTCTAAATCCCGGACCCAGATGGTGCACTAGCATGAGTGTTACTACATCACAAAATGACAGTAGACTGAAAATTTTATCATACCATTCACTACTCACTAGACTGCACAGATTATACCCAAATGAAAATTCGCATCTTTCTTCAGGGTGTTACTGTTTTATTTGTGTCAGTACATGTACTTCTGATCGATCCTCTGACTTTTTTGACTTTTCGATCAGTTTTCTTCTATGCGGACCAAACCAGTGTAAATGTAACGCAAGAGTGCAAGACAGTTCGTTTGGTACAAATGTAGATGATCGATTTCCAAATCGATATTAATTGTATTTTTAAATATTATTTATATGCATAGGATTTGCACAACCAAAATTAACATTTTGGATCAATGACCTTGAAACGCAGAGAAAAAATATATTCCTATCAAACTCGTTTTCATGTAGTTCAGACATGATTTCTCACGTGTGGGTGTTTTTTTTTCTGAGATGTATACGAAGTAGTGACAGCCGCCATATTAACAAGAATTTTCTGATATTATCTAACAAGAAAAATATATTCTCATATTCAGATAACGCCTTCATTATTTCTTATGTTGTACATAGGGCAGTTCATTTATATAAAGTCATCTGCAGTTTCTTCCAAGTCTTTTTCAGGCAGCTATGGAATCGTATCTAAATTAAAATAACTGACGTTTTTATTAACTTTTCTTTCTTTAATCTGAACTCACCAGGTGTCTCTTGATTTAAAAGCTGCGTAAAAACTTGAATTAAAAAAAATTATTTACTAATTTATTCTTTAATTGACCAGGAAAAACAATTGCATTTCTATTAAATAATAATCATTATCTGAATTAAATTGGTGCATTTTTGGTGTACACAATCTTTGCAGTATGCGTGGGTAATTCTTGAGGAAGATGAAGGTGTTTATTGTATTCATATGAATAAAATCGACTTTGCTTCTGCGCGTTTAGTTTTATGGCAATTATATAGACAGTCAAATAAAGTGAGAAAAAAAAATTGCAAGTAAAGATTTGATTGAAGTTTCTTGGTCGGGAACTCGAGAATTTTTTCATGGTATAATATTTCATTATAAATTCTTCGTTGTCTGAAATTTCGAAATGAAACATTATTCTGACTGCGTCTACGACCGGGTCACTTTTTTTTAATCGGAACCGGAAGATCGATATTTTCTGTCATTAGTCTCAGTGATTTTATTACTTAATATTACTTACTTCTTTTTCTTTCTTTCTTTCTTTCTTTCTTTCTTTCTTTCTTTTCCATTTTCTCTTTCCATTTTTCCTTTTTCATTTCTTTCTGTCCATTTTCTCTTTCCATTTTTCCTTTTTCCTTCCTTCCTTCCTTCCTTTCCATTTTTCCTTTTTCATTTCTTTCTTCCTTCCTTCCTTCATTCCTTTCTTTCTTTCTTTCTTTCTTTCTTTCTTTCTTTCTTTCCATTTTTCCTTTTTCATTTCTTTCTTTCCATTTTTCCTTCCTTCATTTCTTTCTTTCTTTCTTTCTTTCTTTCTTTCTTTCTTTCTTTCCATTTTCTCTTTCCATTTTTTCCTTTTTCATTCCTTTCTTTCTTATTTATTTTTTTATTAATTTTGCTTATTAATTTTATATGAGCAAATTTATATTTAATATTTATATAATATCCCTGTTTTAAGAAGGCAAGACAGAAGTACTACATGATGAGTTCCAATATAAGAAATAACAGTGTAAAGTGGGTCAAGTCATGAATTTATACCTCGCCCGGTAAAAAGACACACGCACGACAGGTGTCACCTGGTTGTCATCCAGTGTCTGTTCGCAACAGACAAAAAAAAAAAACACAACAGTAATCGGGTTTTGAAATGTAAAGACATTACATAAATGTGACCAGCTAGTAAATATCGAGCAGGAAATGAACAGGTTTAACATTCTGGGTGTATGTGAAACTAGGCGGGCAAATAATGGAAACTTCATAAGCAACAGATACAGCATCATATACGCAGGCGGAAAGAAAAATTAAGAGGAGTAGGACTCATACTAGATCAGTGCATGAAGTAATGTGTTTAAGGACACTGTCAGTTGTCTGACGGAATTCTTCAAGCCAGAAGTGAAATCATTTATTAAATCCAATATAGTAGCACACGCGCCAATGGCACAAATCACAGAGGAAGAAATTAATAAGATTTTTAGCATTTTATATAACGACAAGACTGAATACAAATCACAGGAATTTATCATCAGTAATGGTGAGCTAAATGGTGTAGTAGGAAAAGAACCAGACGGTGAAATGTTTGTCAAATACAGACTAAGATTTCGCGACAGGCGCCGAAAAAAACGGGTTCAACGGTGTACAGCAAACGACCAAATAAGTGGTTTCAAGTAAACCCAAGAAGCTTGTGGACATGGAGGACCCGAGAAAGAGAGAGAAAGAACCAAATCGACTACATAACGATTAATAAAGAAATTCAGAGATGAAGTTCTATTCAGAAATAAATTCATGGATGAAGTTCTATTCAGAAAGAAATTCAGGGATGAAGTTCTATTCAGAAAGAAATTCAGGGATGAAGTTGCATTCAGAAAGAAATTCAGGGATGAAGTTGCATTCAGAAAGAAATTCAGGGACGAAGTTGCATTCAGAAAGAAATTCAGGGATGAAGTTCTATTCAGAAAGAAATTCAGGGATGAAGTTCTATTCAGAAAGAAAATCAGAGATGAATTTCTATTCAGAAAGAAATTCAGGGATGAAGTTGCATTCAGAAAGAAATTCAGGGATGAAGTTGCATTCAGAAAGAAATTCAGGGATGAAGTTGCATTCATAAAGAAATTTAGGAATGAAGTTCTATTCATAAAGAAATTCAGGGATGAAATTGCATTCAGAATGAAATTCAGGGATGAAGTTCTATTCAGAAAGAAATTCAGGGATGAAGCTCCATTCAGAAAGAAATTCAGGGATGAAGTTGCATTCAGAAAGAAATTTAGGGATGATTCTATTCAGAAAGAAATTCAGGGATGAAGTTCTATTCAGAAAGAAAATCAGGGATGAAGTTCTATTCAGAAAGAAATTCAGGGATGAAGTTGCATTCAGAAAGAAATTCAGGGATGAAGCTCCATTCAGAAAGAAATTCTGGGATGAAGTTGCATTCAGAAAGAAATTCAGGGATGAAGTTGCATTCATAAAGAAATTTAGGGATGAAGTTCTATTCATAAAGAAATTCAGGGATGAAATTGCATTCAGAATGAAATTCAGGGATGAAGTTCTATTCAGAAAGAAATTCAGGGATGAAGCTCCATTCAGAAAGAAATTCAGGGATGAAGCTCCATTCAGAAAGAAATTCAGGGATGAAGTTGCATTCAGAAAGAAATTTTGGGATGAAGTTCTATTCAGAAAGAAATTCAGGGATGAAGTTGCATTCAGAAAGAAATTCAGGGATGAAGCTCCATTCAGAAAGAAATTCAGGGATGAAGTTGCATTCAGAAAGAAATTTTGGGATGAAGTTCTATTCAGAAAGAAAATCAGGGATGAAGTTCTACTCAGAAAGAAATTCAGGGATGAAGTTGCATTCAGAAAGAAATTCAGGGATGAAGCTCCATTCAGAAAGAAATTCAGGGATGAAGTTGCATTCAGAAAGAAATTCAGGGATGAAGCTCCATTCAGAAAGAAATTCAGGGATGAAGTTGCATTCAGAAAGAAATTCAGGGATGAAGTTGCATTCAGAAAGAAATTTAGGAATGAAGTTCTATTCAGAAAGAAAATCAGTGATGAAGTTCTATTCAGAAAGAAAATCAGGGATGAAGTTCTATTCATAAAGAAATTCAGGGATGAAGTTGCATTCATAAAGAAATTCAGGGATAAAGTTGCATTCAGAAAGAAATTCAGGGATGAAGCTCCATTCGGAAAGAAATTCAGGGATGAAGTTGCATTCAGAAAGAAATTTAGGAATGAAGTTCTATTCAGAAAGAATATCAGGGATGAAGTTCTATTCAGAAAGAAATATAGGGATGAAGTTCTATTCAGAAAGAAATTCAGGTATGAAGCTCCATTCAGAAAGAAATTCAGGGATGAAGTTGCATTCAGAAAGAAATTTTGGGATGAAGTTCTATTCAGAAAGAAATTCAGGGATGAAGTTGCATTCAGAAAGAAATTCAGGGATGAAGCTCCATTCAGAAAGAAATTGCATTCAGAAAGAAATTGGGATGAAGCATTTGCATTCAGGGAAAGAAATTCAGGGATGAAGTTCATTCAGAATGAAATTCAGGGATGGGAATGAAATTCAGGTATGAAGCTCCATTCAGAAAGAAAAGAAATTCAGGGATGAAGTTGCATTCAGAAAGAAATTTAGGGATGAAGTTGCATTCAGAATGAAATTAAGGGGATGAAATTCCATTCAGAAAGAAATTCTGGGATGAAGTTGCATTCAGAAAGAAATTCAGGGATGAAGTTGCATTCAGAAAGAAATTTTGGGATGAAGTTCTATTCAGAAAGAAATTCAGGGATGAAGTTGCATTCAGAAAGAAATTCAGGGATGAAGCTCCATTCAGAAAGAAATTCTGGGATGAAGTTGCATTCAGAAAGAAATTCAGGGATGAAGTTCTATTCAGAAAGAAATGCTGGGGATGAAGAAATTCAGGGATGAATTTATTCAGAAAGAAATTCAGGGATGAAGCTCCATTTAGAAAGAAATTCAGGGATGAAGTTGCATTCAGAAAGAAATTCAGGGATGAAGCTCCATTCAAAATGAAATTTAGGGATGAAGTTCTATTCAGAAAGAAATTCAGGGATGAAGTTCTATACCACAAAACATATCCAAGTGAAGATTGTAAGAGTGACCAGCTACCGGTTCAAACACACATTAAAATTATGAAAATTATAAAAAAAAAACAAAGTATAAACTCCAATACGACAGACTCCAAGACAACTTGCAAAAAGATGTGTGTTGAAAGAGTTAAGAGCAAATTTTACAGATTAGATATTGCTAGAAGTTCCAAGTGAAACAATTTAAGTGAAGCTCTACTGACATCAGCGAACAAGATCATCCCATGGAAAGAGGGGAAAAAGAGATGAATTCTCAGGATTATGAAAAAGAGGGCAGTAATCAATGTCAAGAAATATTACAGAACATAGGAGATTAAACACAAGCATTAGAAACAAAGTGAGGCAAATGAATAGCTCAACAAAATGTGCGCAGAGCTAGAAAGAAAGAGCAGCGTAGATATGACAGGTACACAGGAAAGAATACAAAGAGTAACAGGACAAAATACGTGCAATTCAAAACGAGGCATAAAATCTGAAGAGGGGAAGTTAATAATAAAGAAAGAGAAAAACCGATAATAAAAAATGACATGGAAGGAGTTGAAATGCTAAAGTCCAAGGTAAGATCAGAATCAAAGATGAAGAGGAACAAAGAAACATGACCAGATTGATGCCTTTGACGATTTTGACATCAACAAGATTACAGATAAAATAAATGACGCATACATCAATGACAACATACTGGAAGAGCTTAGCAGAGTCATTTTTATAGTGCTGCCTGAGAAGTTAGGTGCAAATGAATGAGAGCTCCATCGGACAACCAGCTTAATAAGTTACACTACTATGCTTATCAGGATTCTTATAAATAAAGCGCGGAGAATTAAACCCCAAATAGGAACAATAAGGTTTAGTTAAAGTCACAAGATGGTATATATGATAAGAATGATATCAGAGCGAGCAATATAAATATTTCATAGATTACACAAAAACATACAACACAAAGATTTATTTGAACTACTAGGAGAACTTTATTCATCTTGGAAAGTTGTTAGAATAATCCAGAACATTTACTGGGAACAAACCGACTGCATTCGAATAGAAAACGAATTGACAACATAAGATACACAGATGACAACGTGTTAATACACACACACACACACACACACACACACACACACACACACACACACACACACACACACGCACACACACACACACAAACCCTGAAGAAATCCGAAGTTCCGAAGGAAATAGCGAAGATGCCTTACAAAATAGAAACAAAGTATTAAGAAACAGGAAAACTTTGTTAGAAACAAAGAAAAAAGTGCTAAACTGTTATGAAATATCAGTTCTCTTATATGGCAGTGAATGTTGGACAATTTTCTCACAGATGAAGAAGGGACTTTACGAATTAGGGATGTGACTCTACAGTATCTTTTGAGAATACTTCTAGAAGGACCTTATAAAAAATGACATTTTAAGGAAAACTGAAAAGCAGGACACTTGTACTTAGAATCATTAAGAAAAGGTTGAAATTTCTGCGGTATATAATGAAAAAAGAGGGCTTAGAGAATTCAATACTCACATGACATACTGAAAACCAGAGGGACAGAGGGAATTCACTCAAGGAGTTTTTACAAATGCATGGTAAAACATCAACTGGTAGGGGTAATAAGGAGACAAAAGTATGAAGTTGTGGAGAGCCATGATCACAACGTCCTAAAGGGATACACGGCACATAAAAGAAGATTCCTGTTAATTATAGAAATATATGTCGTGTCCCTTCAGGACGTGGACGATCGTGGCTCTCGCTAATTTCCTGTCCTTTGTAGTTCTAAGTAAGGCGTGTCTTTTTGCTATCTCTCCTAATCCATGTTCTGCCATACAATTAGATATTTTATTCGCTTCTTCCTCTTGTCTTCAATATGTCTTGTGAGTGTCAAATTCTCTAAGCCCTTTTGGATTAAACTGTGGTGTGTTTTGATCATAACGTTAGGCCTTCTTTATTCGTATGTTAATATACTTGGTTCTTTAACCCCTGGCGACATAAGTGAGAAATAAAAAACTGCATTAACTAAAAGGTAAGTCATAGATGCACTTGATACTTAAGTACATTCTACAAACGAAATGCCTGCTTCGTTGTTCTTTGTTCAATACTCTAACAATTGAACCATGTCATTGCCAGATAACACCAAACACTAAGCGACTTAGACTCGGTGTAAATGTACCCATTAGTGTAAGTGAATGTGTGCATAAGAGAGGTAGAAAGATGGCGAAAGATAAGAAAGTGAGAAAGAAGTAAAGAGACTGAAGTTAGAGAAGCGGGAGTAAAGAAGAGGTGAAGGTCTGTGGGGAGAGTTTAATGGGTGGGCGTATACTTCACATACCTTAAATACCTGTAAGTTTGTCTGCAATTGAATGTCACACACTAACCTGAAAATAAAAATTCGTTGACACATTTTAAAGATAAAGAAGAAAACAGTGAGATGGACGAAGTAAAACTATACAAAAAAAAGTTAAAAAAAAGAAACAAAATACGATTAGGAAGAGAAAAAAAAAAGAAACAAAATACGATTAGGAAGAGAAAAAACAAGGAACAAAAACAACGATATAAAGAAACGCTTAGATTTATGGCCTCGTTATTTTTTTCAGAACAAAGTTCTTAAAAAAACGTTTCTATTCGTTGGGAGTGCAATCAGTACCTGAAAATGAAAACTGAGATTGTTTAAATATTGAAAAGATAGCGGTATCAATATTCACGAAAGAAATGAACATAATGTTCATAAATATACTAGAACAGGGGTCGGCAACTCCCAATCCCCGGGCCACATCAGGCCAGCGAATGATTTTTATCCGGCCCGCCAAATTAACAGTGGAAATGAATTTGCCTTTTTTGTTGACTGTGTTAGTTGTTATCCTGTTATTCCTGTAGTAAAATAAGGAATTTTGTTTAAATAATATAACATTAACTTCATTGTTTTTTCTTCAGCCTTTTTTTTTTTGCAACCTTCTTGACGGAGCGATCTGAGGTCAAGGCAGTTTATTATAAAGGGTGTTCCAATACATTGGACCGATTTTAAATGTAAATTAAGTTTAAGCGTCTAATAATTTTTTTCTTTTTTCTTTCACATTTAACAACTTAAGTCTTTGGCAATTTCAACCATGAAAAGATTAACAAACAAACATGTTAAAGTTATCGAAACCTATTACGAAAATGGACGTTCAAACAGAATTTGAATGAGAAGTTCCCCGGTCGCATCATCTCTCGAAACAGCGCAGTCAATTGGCCACTACGATCGTGCAACTTAACGCCTTTAGATTTCTTCCTTTGGGGGTCATCTCAAAAGTAAGGTCTATGCCAACAAGCCAACAACAATTCAACAGCTGAAGGATGAGATAATAAGGCATATTGGTGAGATCAAGGAGCAACTATGCAGAGACGTCATCAAAAATTTTGACCATTGAGTGGAGGTGTGCCGCCTAAGCCTTGGCGGACATTTGGGTGATATTATGTTTTTTACACATAATTTCCATGACTTAAAGAACATGATCCAATAGAGAAATAAATAAATTTTCACCAATAACACTGATTTATTTACTACTGACTTTGATCCGTCTTAATGAAACACCTATATTTAATCCGTCTTAATGAAACTCCCTTTAGTACATTTGATAACATGGCCTTCCTCTGAGACACTGCATAGCTGTTTGGTCCGCTCTCTCCAAAAGGTTGCCGACCACTGCTCCAGAACTTATACAAATTTAATGCACACACACACACACACACACACACACACACACACACACACACACACACACACACACACACACACACACACACACAAAGGTTGAACTTCCTCTCCTAAAAATAAAATCATAATTGAAAATCTTTGCAAATCATTCAGATTCGATGCTTATGAAATCAAATGCAAGCGCGATAAATAGCTTGACACTGACATCTAAACTGACGTTTGGTGAGAATGTTCCTCAAAGGTTAACCTTTCGATAAAACTAGGCTAAATGGCAACTGAGATTAATTAATTTATGAAGGGAATTCAATTGTAAATATTCCCTACCCCCCGAGAATCAGTGTTTTTTTTTGTTATTCCAGTAAGAGAACGACGTGGCGGGATGCGTCAGTACGCGCTCAACCCAGTGTTCCTTTTTATGTGCCATGTCCTTTCAGGACGTAGACGATCATGGATCTCCACCTCCCTTTATCTCTTGCAGCTCTCAACAAGTTCCTTCCCTCTGCTTCCTCCCCCAGACCACATTCTGTCATCTACTTGCTTAAGTCCGCCAGGTATGTCACATGTTGGTTTCCCTTGTCTCTCTTTCCCTCTATCCTACCCGTGAGTATCAGATTCTCCAGACCCTCCTTCCTCATTATGTGTCCCAGAAAGTTCAGCTGCCTCTTCCTGATATTTAGTATAAGCCTTCTCCTTGTTTACAACCTCTCTATGACCTCACTGTTGCTCACACGCTCGGTCCATTTCTTCCCAGTACATTTTGATCACGGATGAGATGGGTTCAGTCCTTGTCACTTTTAATGATTGAATACCTACTTACCACCATTTTTTTTTTCAAAAATGATTTCGTTTCTTTTCTTAATTTTTTCATAAAACATTAAATGAGAAAACAAAATTACTAAACAAGAAATCATCTTCGTAATCAACACAATTATTCCGATTAGGACATTCGGGGCTAAAATTCTTGTATTTTTCGAAATAATCGTTCCATTTTTGGTAGTACCGTAATTCTCTGTGACGTTTTTCACTTTGTCTTTCGTCTACATTTCCTCGGGGGAAATTTTGAAACAGTTTTTATGGCGCCAAATATTCGTGGAAAAACTACTTCTACCCATACAAACCTTGTCCATTTGAGAATTTAAAGACCGATGAAAGTACAAACTTGATATTCACTTCATAACGATTTGAGGATTTTCTTCCTTTTTTCCAAGCTAATCTTATGCCGTAATTTAAAGATTAGGAGTAAGTCATAACAGATGATCATGGGTCTTGTCATATTATCACCTC